GCGGTTCGGGGGGGCCGCACTGTAAAGGGTGGGGAGCTGCCCCCTGCCCCGCGGTTCGGGGGGGCTGCACTGTAAAGGGTGGGGAGCTCTTGGCAGAAGAAGAGGAGGAAGCTGGCTTCTCAACGCTGCAGTAACTTTGACGCTTTTTCCGTTGTGTGCACTGCAAAGTAGCATCTAGGGAGCACGGACCTCACAGCAGCCTCACCCGCTGCAACGCTGTAACTCGGCTGTTCCACGGGTGACACCCCATTGGACGGTCCTACCACACTGTCACTTTGACCCTTTCCTCCAGTAAAGACAGCCAGTGAGAAAACGGTTGTACTCGAAGGTCAGCTCTGTGACTTTCCTTAAAAACAAAGACTTGGAATTATGTCTGTTTGGTCCTAAAGCAAAAATCATCATTCCCTGAATCATTTAGTGAGAAACTCAGAACCACTGTTTCCTTGATGTGGTGACTTAAGTTGAGACACTGGGTTCCCCCTGCCCCCAAGTCAGGTGGCTGACACCTCAGATCCGCACCCCCACCGCACCCCCGGATTCTTAAATTTGCTGTAAAACGTCCATCATTCCTATGTCAGCTGATGTGTTTTCAAGCAGCGGCGTTCGTGTGTCCATGCGCATCTGGGTGTCCGCCCCATCGTTCTGGGGGCTGACGCACGCGTGAGGCCTGGCCGCTCATGATTTGTCCTCTGGCCCTTAGAGAACAAGGGGGCCTCACCCCATCACCGTGCGCAGTGCGGCCTGCTGATGAGCCAGGTCCCCGGGGTGCTCTGGGGGCTCGACCTTGCCCCACTTGCTGGGCTTGTGGGTAAACCGCGGGGCCGGCGCCGAGGGTGCTGAGGGCGCTGCCGTCCCTCTGTGTTTTGAAGGAAGCGGCACCGGAAAGGGGAGAAGAACGGGAAGGGCCTGCGACACTTCTCCATGAAAGTCTGTGAGAAGGTGCAGAGGAAGGGGACCACATCCTACAACGAGGTGGCCGACGAGCTCGTTGCCGAGTTTAGTGCCGCCGACAACCACATCCTCCCCAACGAATCTGTGAGTGTGTGATTGGCAGGGACACACACACACACACACACACACGTCCAGAGAACGATACTGAGGCGTTTCCCTGGCCCACTTGGGCCGCGGCGCCCTCTCACCCCGGATGCTGTTGCATCACGGGCTGTGACGCTCTCCCTTTGCATTCGGTGGGGACACGAGCGACTGGCACTGCCGGCGGGGTGCTGGTTACTGCCCGAGGGTGTCTGAGGTGTTGTGTGAGCGTCCCCTGGGAACGGCTCTGGATGGTCTGGGAAACCCACGCTCTGTCCTCCCCAGGCTTATGACCAGAAGAACATAAGACGACGAGTCTATGATGCCTTAAATGTGCTGATGGCCATGAACATCATCTCCAAGGAGAAGAAGGAGATCAAGTGGATCGGTCTGCCCACCAACTCGGCTCAGGAATGTCAGAACTTAGAGGTACGTGGCTGACCCGTGGTTTCCATCGAGCCCTATAGGTGTGCGTGGGAGCAGTGTGCCTGGAGCGGCGCGTGTGTGGTGTGCCCGTGGGTGCCTGCTCGGGGTCTGGCGTGTGTGCTGGCCTGGACCATGGGTCCGCCGCTTCCCCGTGCCCCGTGCCTGCCTGCTGGATGTCAGTGTGTGGCCCGTCCACCCTGGCTGCGCTCCGCAGGCCCCGGCCTGGTTGAGGGCAGTGCACCCAGCGTAGGAAAATCTGAGTCCTGGTTGTGGGATTTGACTTTCATATCAACCACATCCAGAAAATGAGAGAAGGCGGAGGAGTGTGTTGTTCTGAGACTGAAGACACAGCCCCTTGTCCCGGCCCACGAGCCGCCTTCCTTCTAGACTGATTCCCTGCCGTTAGGTTCCCAGCAGACCGTTGGGGCAAGCCCGCTGCGGGACGCTGTGTTGACGCGAGTCTTGCGTCGCACTGTCAGGTGCGCTGTGACGGCGCGGTCTCTGTTTTCAAGGTGGAGAGGCAGAGGAGGCTGGAGCGGATAAAGCAGAAGCAGTCTCAGCTTCAGGAGCTCATCCTGCAGGTAACGGCTCTGCCCTCGGCAGGCAGTGCCCTCCGCTCCCGTCTAGTGCCCCGGCGCCGCGCCGGCTCTGGTGCAGGACGGAGGGCAGGAGGGCGCGTTCACACGGCCCCTCGGTGTATTGTCCAAGTGCCCTGTCACGCGCCTTGCCTACAGACTGTCACAGGCCCACGGGTAGGAGGAAGCGCAGCACAAGCAGGGTGGGTTCCATCTGCGGCCTTGGAGCAGGTCCCCCGCAGATGAGAAGGGTCCCCCGCAGATGGGAAGGGTCCCTTGCAGATGGGAGGGGTCCCCCGCAGATGGGAAGGGTCCCCCGCATATGGGAAGGGTCCCGTACGTAAAACCTCTGCTTTGAGGGCTTGAGTGCAGATTTCATGAGCACCCACCGAGGTCCCGCGCAGGTGCTGTCGATGTGAACTCTTAGACGTGGGCCTACTTCCCAGAGAACGCGTGTGCGTGTGAGCAAACGTGTAGCATGTGTGCGGTTTGTCCGAGTCTAAGCGTTGGGAGGGATGCCCTTTGGAAGGCCACACGCGAGGCTTCCCTGGGAAGGTACACAGCATGGTCCGAGGTGTGCGATGGCGACTATGGGTCAGGGGTCAGCTCCTGTGGTCGGTGGGTGGCACCCTCCCCTGCCCCTACAGACATGTTGGCAGGTACGGCCCTCACCCCTGCAGGGCCCTGGAGGTGCTCATTCCAGGCTAGAAGGAAAAGCATATGTGTCCCAGAGCTCGTGGAGGGCGCCCAGTCGCTGGGTTGCGGCCGCGGTGCTGGGCCATCTGGCCAGGTCCTGGGGAGGGGGCGTCAGCTGCCACGGAAGTGCTGGGTGGCCAGGGGAGGGGAGATAGCTTCGTGATTTATGGAGGTGCCCGTGCACCCCAAGGCAGTGAGACCTCGGGCTCTGTGGTCGGGTCGGAGGGTGTGGGGGAGCCCTGGGACCCGGGGGGAGGCGGAGGGAGGTCTCAGGACACAGCCCCGGTGGCTGGGGTTGGGAGGTCTCCGAGCAGGGGAAGGGCCAGGGCCCGCAGACTGTGGCAGAGGCTGTACGTCTTGCCCTGCTGGGCGCCCTAACTGAGCCTCGGTCTCTCCTTCGCCCCAGAAAAAGCCTCCCATGGAGGGAGGGCTTTGCTGGGCAGGGGGGCGTGACAGCCGCGGCCCCGGGCCAGCTGGGCGAGGGGGGTGCTCTCTGCCTGTAACAGCAGGAGAGTCATCCTGAAGGCGCGGTCATCTCGGGGCTGAGCGCGTGTGCCCCCAGAGAGCCCTGCCTGGGCAGCCGTGCTGGCGTTTGTTCCTCCGGGAGGCTCTGGGTGTGGGCTGCTCGTCCGCCTCCTGACGTGGGGTGCGTGCACTGGGCTGATGTCCCTGGGGGATGTTTCTGTCAGGGGGACCCCCACCCTCCCCAGCTGTTTGCTCTGATCTCTCAAGGGCTCCGACCCCTGTTTCCGTCCCATGGGGTCGGGCGGGGTCGTCGGGAACTCCTGTGGACGAGGCTGTAGGTTGGTGGCAGCTCCTGTGAGCAGTGTGCTGGGGGCTTATCTTTTTTAGCAAATTGCCTTCAAGAACCTGGTGCAGAGGAACCGCCAGGCAGAGCAGCAGGCCAGCCGGCCGCCCCCGCCCAACTCCGTCATCCACCTGCCCTTCATCATCGTCAACACCAGCAGGAAGACCGTCATCGACTGCAGCATTTCCAACGACAAGTAGGTAGTCCCCGGCCCCCCCACCCGAGGTCCCAGCTGAGCCTCCGGTCAGAGCGGAGCACGCTGCCATCACCGTTCGGGAGGACGGGGTGTGCTGCGTGCTCGCTTGTACGAGTGCTCATCTGTAATTAGTAAGTACAGTCCCTCGGCATATTTAAGTTATAGGCTCATTTCTTACCTCCCTGGTTATACGTTTATCTTTTAAATTTTTTTTTATGTTTTTTTTTAAAATTTATTTGTAGGAGAGAGAGAGAGAGAGACAGCGTGAGCAGGGGAGGGTCAGAGAGAGAGGGAGTCACAGACTGAAACAGGCTCCAGGCTCTGAGCTGGCAGTCAGCACAGAGCCCGACGCGGGGCTCGAACCCACTAACCGCGAGATCATGACCTAAGTGAAAGTCGGACGCTTAACCGACTAAGCCACCCAGGCGCCCCTACGTTTATCTTTTAAAAGGAAAACAAAGGCCCATGGGCGGCTCAGTTGGTTGAGTGTCTGACTTTTGATCTTGGCTCTGGTTGTGATCTTGGAGTTCATGAGTTTGAACCCCTTCATTGGGCTCTGTGCTGACAGCAGGAAGCCCGTTTGGGATTCTCTCTCTCTGCCCCTCCCTTGCTTGCACGCTCCCTCTCTCTCCGTCTCCTCTCAAAATAAAGGATAAACATTTAAAAACTATATAAAAGGAAAACAAAGTCTGACAGGGTCGTTAAGAGCACAGCTGGGTCAACACAAACAGAGACAACCATTACGGGGGGGTGGGGGGGGCCCGCGGGCGGCGCAGGGGGAGCTTCCCAGCCAGTGGGCTTGGCGGGACTGCAGATGAAAAGGGCCCCAAGGAAGGCTGGAGTGAGGGGAGTCCCCGCTGAGGGCTGGAGCCACGCCTGCCACTCTCTGTCTTGAAGATGGCAAGTGACTCCCTTTCTGGGGCTGACCGTGTCCCCAGGTTCGAGTACCTGTTCAACTTCGACAACACATTTGAGATCCATGACGACATTGAGGTGCTGAAGCGCATGGGGATGGCCTGCGGCCTCGAGTCCGGCAGCTGCTCCGCCCAGGACCTGAAGACGGCCAGGAGTCTGGTGCCCAAGGCGCTGGAGCCCTACGTGACGGGTCAGTTGTGTTGGAGGGTCACGGGGGCCAGGCCTCAGCCCTGCACGTGTGGCAAGAGCAGAGATGGCCCGGGGCGGGGGGTGGCATGAGGGGGAACATGGCCCCGGGAGGCCACAGTGGCGCTCTGTGGGTTTGGAGGTGTGGTTGATGCGGTGAAGTGAGGATTTCACCTTCTGGGTGCAAGTGGGGTGGGCTTGGAGTTCTAGGCGGGGGATCTGTCTCCCCGGCCAGGGGACCCAAGGGTGAGGAGCTGTTTGCCTGGCTCTCGTGCTGCCCTCCCCTCTGGGGACTTGCTGCAGAGCACCAGGGTCATGGCCACACAGGCAAGGAAGGGGCTTTGTGGTGAGAGAGCTGTGGGGGGGCTGTCCCCCGGAGCTGGGCTGGACCGCAGGGTGGGCCCCGTAGAAGTCCCCGGCACTGGCTGCTCACTGGCGCGCCGACTCTGAGGCCGGCAGCCACACTTGGTCCCTCTCGGGGAGGAAGCTGCCCGGGGTGGGGGTTGGCCATCCGGCCTGTGGCAGCCTGGTTGTCGTGCGAGCCTCCGTCGTGTGACCTTTGCTGCATTTTCTTCTCTTTCCAGAGATGGCTCAGGGATCGATCGGAGGGGTGTTCGTCACATCAGTGTCCACCTCCAATGGCACGAGGCTTTCTGCCAGGTGACCGGGCTCTGGGTGGGGCGGCCCCCACACGCAGGCCAGGCCCAGCTCATGCCCTGGGCGGGAGGCAGCGCTGCCTCCTCGTGTCTCCCCCTAAAACTTCAAAGTGACACGTGACTTTGATTTTGAAGAAAGCAGCATGCGGTGAAGTGGGGCCCAGACCCGAGCCCGAGCCCCAGCCCCAGCCCCGGGCACAGGGTGTTTCCGTGTTTCCTTCTGCTGCTGAACATGCTTGGGGTCGTCTGTACACAGAATTTTGTTCCCTGCTTTCTTCAATTTACCATTTATTGTATGTATATTTTGTATACATACAATGTATAGTCAGCGAAGGAGCTTTATTATTTAAACCAGTGGGTATTAGTCTTTGACCCAGCCGTGCCACAGAGCAGAACTGTGTTGTTTCTGGGTATTTTTCTTAGGTTCTTAAAGATTAATAGAACTTCTGCTTTAAGTGTTGACAAAACAGGGTTTTATTAACTTTTATGTTGTGTTAGGTTACACGTAACAGATATTACTTTGTATTGGTCCCACATAATAGTAAATGTTTAATTTCTTAAAATATCAGGTAGATGAGCAGTCTTTAGGTTCAGCGAAATGGGCCTGGTCTGATAAAGGCCAGCGCGGCCCTGCGGCTGCCCCGCGGCTCCCGGGTTCTGTCGCACCCGCGCCGCAGGACGTGCTGCAGTGGGGCCGTCGCCGAAGTCCTTGTGGGGGCCTGGCCTGGGTCAGGGTCAGGCGGAGGTCAGCTCCCTCCCCCTGCGTGTGCGTGTGCGCACGTGTGTGCGCGCATGTGTGTGTATGCGTGTGTGTAGCAGTCAGTCTGCGTGATGCTGATAACCAGCTGTTCTAAGAGTCAGAATTTGGGTATCTTCTAGCCTTTCATGTTCACAGAATTCTTTCTATTGATTAAAGTTTCCGAGACGTCAGCTTTTATTTGAGGGAGGCAAAGCCATTAGTTTTTCAGAAGAAAAGACTGAAAAGTGGCCGAGACGTCTCATGCGGGCCCAGCAGTTTGCTAGGCAGTTAGGTGGTTCCGCTTAGAAGCTGCAGCGGAAGCAGCCGTGTGAGCCGTTCTGACATCTGCGAGGTGGGGTCCCAGCCGTGGGGCTCCTTTGTCAAAGGGTGTAGTGATGACCCGTCCTCCTCGCATGATGCCGGTAATCCTGACTAGCGAGGGGTGTGAAAATCTGCACGTCTGCTTGCGCGTTCGAGAAAAGCCTCGCTGGTGCCCCAGCTCTGGGCCGCAGCGGGTGTGGGTGCGGTGCCCACACGGTCCCGTCCCTGCCGAGACCGCCCTCGGCGATCATCCCGCGCCCAGAACGCCTTCTCTGAGTGTAGAGCAGCTGCCGCCCCGCACGGCCCCGCTCCCATGTCCTGTGCTCTCGAGGCAGCTGCAGGCCTTCCAGTCTGGCGGCGGAGGGGGGACCCCGAGCCCCACATGCTGGCGGGAGTGCCCGGCCAGAACCCGAGGGGCCTCTGTGCAGCTCTGCACTGCCGGCCCGCGTCCCTTGTGTCTCTTAGAATGTGTCTGGTGTCTCTTAGAATACTGTTGCTTGCCGCTAGACCCCAAGACGGAGGGAGCGCAGTGACTTTTGACAGGTGTCTGAGTAGGTCATACTTCACGTGCCGGGCACCTTCTGGTGCCCCAGGACCGTATCTGCCGCCTTGCATCTGACCCGCTCTGTGCCAGGTGCTGGGGGCCGCCTGAACCCAGAGGTCTTTCCTCAGGACCCCAGGTCTGAAGATCCCTCTGTTCTAGGCCAGGGTCTGGCCTGAGGCAGTGGCGCCATCTGGGGCCACATGACTGTCGTGTGTGCTGCCCGGTGCCTTGTGACGTGTTTGGTGGCACCCTCAGGCTCAGATGCCAGTAGCCGTCCCCCAGCCCCCGTTGTGACAGCCAGAGAGGATTAGAAGTCCCCGCCCCTGCCAGCCTAGGCAGGTTCTGGATGTGCGTCTGAGCACCCTGCTTCCCTCGGCTGCCGTTCCCGGGAGGTCAGGTCCCAGAGAGTGTGAGACTCGGGTGCTGCAGCTCCACTCCCAGGGCTCTGCACGGTGCGGGGGGAGGCGTGTGGGCCCGGGGTGTCCCGCACACACACAGGTGCACGTGCACACCATCGCAGGGCAGTGGATGTGTGCACACAACCACACACGCGTATACATGTGCACGCACACAATCACACACATGCATATACAACCACACCAACGTTGTGCATACTCACACAACCATACACATGCGTACATGTGCGTGCACACAACCACACACATGCACGCATAGAACCATGCTCATACACAACCACAAAGGCAGCACGTGCACACAACTCGCTGGGCACCCCCAGTGCACTGTCATCAGAGGGCCTTGCTTTGAGGGCCCCGTGTCCTTTCTGGGCCCCTTTCTCCTCACCTGTTCTCACCCCCCCTGGAGATCAGCTCATAGCTCACGCCTGGAAGAAGGGTCTGTGGTTCGCAGCGTGAGCCCGTCGGGGTTTGTTTGTAACATAACAACCAGTATCGTGGCTCGACCAGCGTTGCTGTGAGGTCGGTGTCACGAGTGAGGGTGTGGATGCGGGGGCTCCCCACTCGGCCTGCGCACCGCTGACGCCCTGTCCCTCGACCCCGCAGCGACCTGACCAACGGTGCGGACGGCGTGCCGGCCACCAGCTCCAGTGGGTCCCAGTACAGCGGCTCCCGGGTGGAGACCCCCGTGTCCTGCGTCGGGGAGGACGAGGACGACGACGACGACTTCAACGAGAACGAGGAGGAGGACTGACGCCGCGGGCGCCCACGGCCCACGCCGGGGAAGCCTGCCCTCTGCGCGGGCGGCGGCCCGCGGCGGCCCCTCCCGGGGAGACGCCCCAGCGAGCGGGCGAGGGCTGCGTCCCGCGGGGGCCGAGGGTGCGCCGGGGCGCCAGCCGCGACCGGGGCCTCTCTCCGCTGCCCAGGATCTCGCTTGCGTTGTCCGTCTGTAGCTCAGAGCCCACTCTGGCCCGTGGTTCTTGCTGAGTGAGCCTCCTCCCGCGGCCCCCGGCGGCCAAGCCCTGCTCCTCCGCGCTGGGCCGCAGATCGTACTGGGACTTTATTTTCCCTTAAGTTATATTGACTGTGTGACTCCATCAAGTTCATACGTTTTATTTTCCTCGATGTTGCAGCAAATTGCCAAGTTCTTTATTCGTTTTGTTTCGTTTGGTAAAAGTTCACTGCCTTGCTGGTGCAGCTGCGAGAACTGGAGGGCTTGGAGCGGCGGGCGGCCTGCGGCTCCGCGGGCTTTCCTGTACAGCTGTTTACACACCCACACGTCTGTCTTGACGCACACGGAAACAAACGCCGTCTTTGTTTCGTGAGCATCTTCCTGTAACTACGATAAAGTTGACATTAAATATAGAGAATGTTCTAACAGTTTTTTAACTCAGAATTTGTCAATCATTTTTAATAGTTCTTTTTTTATAAAAAGAAACGGGATTTCAGGACAGGCAGTCGTCCCTTTTAAAACTTATTCACAGAGAACCATTAACCGCACAGTTGCTGTTAGCTGCCTGTTCTACAACAATAGTCTTTTTATTGAAACACAAATAAACTTTTCTGTAATATTTTATGGAATATAAAGAGACTTTAATTGTTTGACTTGTTTAACTCGGCACTGTTAGTTTTTATTAATAAAACGCGCATGGGCATTTTAAACCAGCTCCGTGTTCCTCTGATTCACGATCATTGTGCGGAAGCTTCAGCGTGCGGCCCACTTCTTGCCGAGGAGGACGGTCACCGGGCTGTGTGCTGAGCACCCCTCACCCTCCTCCTGCGTCCTCGGCTCAGGGGCAGGTTCTGGGCTGAGTCTCCTCAGAAAAATTGAGATCGACGGGGAAGAAGGGACACTTAACCACCTTACATGAGCCGCCTGGTGTTTTGAAGCCATCAGCCTTGGAAGGGAGCCTGCGGTCCCCTGGGATGATGTGGCCGCCCGCCCTCTCTTGCCAGTCAAGACTTCCCTCAACTGTCCCGAGGGCCTGGGGACACCGTTCTGGCGCCCTTTGCCTGCTGTGTGTAGGCGGGACCCCCAGATGGCGTGCGGGGCGCGTGTGTGGCTGCGTGCGGTGCTGGCGTGGGAGTGAGGCCGCTCTGGGACAGCAGGCTTGTTTGGCCACGATGCTCCAGAGGGGAGCACCTGCCCGCCACCCCCTTTACCTGCCAGAGCTGTGGCGCTCTAGCATAGTCTGATTTCCTTGATTTAGGATTAAAACTTTAAGAAGAAGATTCTTTTTTTTTTTTTTTTTTATATTTTTTTTTTTTATTTATTTCTAGGAGAGAGAGAGAGAGACAGCGTGAGCAGGGGAGGGTCAGAGAGGGAGGGAGACACAGACTCTGAAACACGCTCCAGGCTCTGAGCTGGCAGTCAGCACAGAGCCCGACGCGGGGCTCGAACCCACGAACCGCGAGATCATGACCTAAGCGAAAGTCGGACGCTCAACCGACTAAGCCACCCAGGCGCCCCAAGAAGAAGATTCTTAAAGAGAAAGGGACTTTTTTGTTATTTTTCCCCTTATCAGGAAAGACGTGACTGATGTATGTAGAGTAAGCATGACTTTAATGTGCTTTATTTGTACAGCGTAGGAATTGTGTCTTTAAAAGCAAGCCCTCCAGTCGTCCATCCTCGTGAGGTGAGTTTCTTGCTCACGCGGGTACCGGGAGGTCACAGGGGTCAGGAAAGCTGAGGCACGGAAAGGAGAGAGAAGTTGCCCAGAGTGAGTTTTCAGGTCTTGTTAGTAGGTGACGGCTGCCTTGGGGTCACCACACCGGCTCAGCGTTTTGACCCTCACTGCAAGTTCTGTCACTGAGCAGAGAGGACTGAGAGAAGTCGCTTACTCTAGTGCCAAGTGTGTGCGTGCAGGTGGCGGCCGGCAGCTCCGGTGCTTGGCGGCCGGGCGCCCCGCTCTCTACTGCTGGATTTTGAGCTTGAACTCCACCTTCCCCTCGTAGGGATCGTGGGGGTTGTCGAACGTCACATGATCGGCCAGGACCTTGCACACGATGACGACCTCCGTGTTTCTGGGGACGTTGAGAAGTTTCGCGGCGACCAGAGGGTTGCTGTAGTGGGGCTGGAACGGTGTGGGGAGACGGGAGGCGGCGAGAGTTAGAAACTGCGGCAGGTGTCCGGGTGGGCTGCTCGGAGGTGGCGCCCACCTGCCCTGTCTGAGCATGGCTGCCCTTGCACGCTCAGCCGCCTGCCGGAACTCAACGGGGACAGAGAGCTCTCTCCACGTAGGCATGGGGAGAGTCGGTCTGGGGTGGGACAACAGCAGTGACAGATTCAACCTCACATTATACTCGATGAAAATTAGTGTAAGAATAAAACAGGAGAAATCAAGAGATTTGGAGGAAGTGCTTCAAAATGGGTGTGTGGTTGCCTGACAGGATCAGGAAACGCTCGGAAACTAGAAGAATCAGGTTCACTCCATGTGTGTTACGTGAGAGCTACGTGTTTTCCGGTCGTTGTGGGCGGTGGTGGGGGAGGCGGCAGAGCGCTGCACGGTCAGGACGGGCTAAGTTGGCCAAGTTCGCCGCTCGGGTGAAGGTCGCCGGCTGCCGTGCGCCCAGCATGTTGCTGACTCCGAGCCGGTTCTGCAGACCTACCTGCGCTTTGCTCCCATAGTAGGGGAAGTAGTGGAGGCTGAAGGTGCCGTTGGGCGGGTAGTACTCCACCTGCAGGGGCCGGGCGTCCCGGTGCTGCTCCTGCAGACAGAGAGGCCGGCGCCGGGTGAGGCGGGAGCTGGGTGCACGCATGCAGCACCCACATGTCCCTGGACGCCTGTGCGTATGTGTGCGTGCGTGTGTGTGCGTGTGCGGCACGCAGTTAGCATAAGCCGGCTCTGATCTTTATGATCCCATCAGGGATGTAACTTACTAGTTTGCCAAGCCTTTGGTGACCTATCAAATTTCCATTTTTAGCATTTTAAGTCCTAGTAGGATAACGAAGATGGACAAAGCGGAGAATGTGCTCGTGTGTCCGTGTGCGGGCACGAAAGCTGAGAAAGCTGGACCGGCCAACAGTTTGTGCAACATCAGGGCTAAGCACCGCCTGCTGGCTCGGGTTTGGTCCCTCGCCATTGTCTGCGAATTTCCTGGCAGGTGGACGGGGTTGTCAGAACACAGGTGGAGAGCACTTTGGTGTCTGTTAGACGCTGGGGTCAGCCTGCGTGTGTGGTCAAGTGGCTGCTGGAGGGCACAGAGCGAGCCAGGGCCCCACCCACAAGAGACGGGCGTGGGGGTGGGGGGTGGGGGAGCGTCTTCTGTCACTGTGCCAGGGAAACAAGCTTTAGGAAATATTCAGGGAACAGATGCAGTTTATATATATATATATATATATTTTTTAATGTTTTTTAATTTATTTCTAGGAGAGAGAGAGAGAGAGACAGCGTGAGCAGGGGAGGGTCAGAGAGAGAGGGAGTCACAGACTGAAACAGGCTCCAGGCTCTGAGCTGGCAGCCAGCACAGAGCCCGACGCGGGGCTCGAACCCACGAACCGCGAGATCATGACCCAAGCGAAAGTCAGACGCTTAACCAACTAAGCCACCCAGGCGCCCCACGCAGCTTATATTTTTGTGTTGTGCTTAAAAACTGGTTTTGCCGGGCACTGGGGGCCCTCAGTCTGCTAAGCGTCTGACTCTTGATTTTGGCTCTGGTCGTGATCTCACAGTTTGTCAGTTTGGGCCCCGCGTTGGGCTCTGTGCTGACAGCATGGAGTCTGCTTGCGATTCTCCCTCTCTCTCTGCCCCTCTGCTCATCCTCTCTGTCTCTGTCTGTCTCTGTCTTTGTCTCTCTCTCAAAAAATAGGTAAACAAAAAAATTTGAAAAAATGGTTTTGAGAAAAACTGGAGTCAATTAATGCCGACTCTCAGGAGCCCGGACATGTATGCTGTTGCGCAGCCACAGCTGGGGGCCACCTGGCGTACATGTCCGCAAACAAACAAGAGAAAACATGTAATAGAAGTGCCTTGCTTGTTCTAAATTGCCACCAAAGACTTTGAAGTGTGTTAGTAATACACTGTTCAGACGCTTTTCGAAGCAGAACGGTAACAAAGATACACTATTTTTCTCACTCGGTTTTTGTGCCCTGTAATAAAGCCGCTCTAAGTGATGGGTCGTGATGGCTCTGGGCCCGTGGATCCGGACGGGTGGGCTGGCGACTGAGAGGCTCAAGGGGTAGCTCACGGGTGTGCACTCACCAGGAAGGCGCAGTCTACCCTGGGCGCCGTGCTGTTGCTGGGGAGGAACTTGACGATCTGGAAGGGAAGGGCGTCCTGTAGCTCTCCGGCTGGCTGTGTGTGGCAGGGGCCTGCGTGGCCTAGGGCTGCGGCCGCCACCGTGGCGTCCTGACCACTAGGCTGCAGGGCCGCCTGGCGCTCCGTGGGGCCCACGGCTCACCTCTGCTGCTCCCGTGCTGCTCTCTCGGCCTCCTGAGGTCCTGGCCCCTGGGTGTACCCTTGTGCGCAGCGCCCAGGGCAGTCCGGCCCTCCCCACACACCCGTCCCCTGCCTGGCAGTGATGAGGGAGACCCAGTGGGGACCCAGGAAGTGTGCAGCGCACACACGCGTGGCTTCCCCGGCCCTTGGGAAGGGAGAGTGGGGGAGTCCCCAGGCCGCACGCGTGGCCACCGCGCGCAGCCCCGACTCTGCACTCGGTGTGGGGCGCTGCAGGGTGCGAGGCCGGCGCTTGTTGTCAGGCCGTGTCGGGGGGAGGTCCGCTCCTGAGCCACCAGGGCAGGGGCGCGTGGGGCGCAGGAGCAGTGGGGGGGCGGCCAAGCCACGGGGCTCACGTGAGGGCCAGCCGCCCGGCCTCCGTGCCGCAGCCGCCCCCGCGGGGCCCTCGGGGCTCACCCTGTTCATTTTCATCACGAAGCACGGCCTGCCCTCCGCGAAGCCGAAGTTGGGGTCCACCAGGCCCGAGCAGTTTCGCAGCATGTCTGCTGTGAACTTGCAGGAGAACTTGGTGTGGTTCGGGGCCCTGAAGCTTTCCTGGAAGAAGTACTTCTCGGAGGTGCAGTTGATGCTGTCCTGCTGGGACTCTGGCGAGTAGCCTGCGGGGACACGCGCGCTGGGGCTGGCTGGGGGCACAGCCCAGCCCCTCCGGGAAATTGTCTCGGAAGCGGGAGACACGGGCTGATCGCCTGTTAGACTTCACCTGCCAGGAAGCCGTGCAGCGCGTGCACGAGGCCCACCCAGGTCCTGTTGTCGGAGACGTTGTAGGAGATGTCCAGGCCCTTGTCCCCATAGACGTCTGGCCTCAGGGTCACCCCTGGGGAGAGAGCAGGACACATGGGACTCAGTTCCTCCCAGGGCATTCGTCCCAGCCCAGCCACGTGCTGCAGGGCTGGTGAGGCCCGCATGCCGCCGGCCCCGCCTGGCCGTCCAGCTGGGCCCGGGTCCTCAGGGCCCCCGCACAAGGGGCCTGTGTCCACTTGTGCTCCGCAGCGGTGGCTCCCCAGGGGCCCTGCCCGGCTCGTCCGGTCGGAACCACGCTTAAGTGAAGTTGTGTTTGGACACACATTTGAAAAGTATTCACTGGTTTTGATTCAAAGCAATCTGACCACATGTTAATGTGACCACAAGTCAGGATGCGCACGTGCAGGCCGAGGGAACGGTGGCCTGTGGGGGGCGTCCTCGCTCTGTGAGCACTAGACGCGCAGCCCCGTGTGCCGTAAATTGGGTAAATGGGATCCCACCGCCCGGATTCCTCTTTCCCTCTTCCATGTCCCGGCGCCCGTTGTACGCATGTCCGTATCAGACTGTCCGCAGATCCTGAGTCGCGTTTCCCCGTGTGATCATCGCTGGTGCACGCGGCTGGCGCCCTGTTGATGCGGGGACTTTTTAAATAGTCCGCTGGTGTTCTGTCCTATTGCGGCCACTGTGGGTGTAAGGTCCATGCGCGGATCCAAGTAAAAACCCAGGAGAGAGCGCGCACCCCGCACCAGGGTCCGCTCTGCCCGTGCCCTCAGCCTGTGCGTCCGCGTCAGTGGTGGCTGCGCCCCACCCCCTCCTCTGGGCTTTGGGCAAATTACGTCCCGGCCGAACCCCCGGGCCTGTCGCCTGTAGCACTCTGTTCTGCAGCCACGACAGGCCGCCGTGGCCTCTCTGCTGGTCGGCTCTAAGACCGACACCCACACTCTGGTGTGACGCCCTGGGCAGGGGTCCCCGAAGACTGCGGGGTGGAGGGCCTGCTGGGGAGAGGACACTCCCCACGAGTGACAAGCGTCCTCAGGAGCTGGACGTGCGTTTTCTTCCTTCACTTCCTCCCCTTCTCCCCCCGCCCTTGTTCGGTTTGTGCAGCTGGGCTAGGCCACTGTCTGCCGCGGGCACCCGGAGGGGACTCCAGGCGGGGGTAGGGGGGCTCGGCCTTCACTCCAGGCATCCTTCCCCACGCGGGACGGGAGACGACCTGCTCTTAGAGAAAAGCATTTTCTGAACGGAGCTCGTGTTTGTGGACATGCTAACAGGATCGGGCCGTGCGGAGGCGCATCCAGTGCAAGACAGAAGCCCTTCCCTCCCGCCGGGCCTCAGCTCCCGGTCCCCCTGCGTCTGCGCCTCCTCCCACACGGCTTCTGTGTGCCTTGGTGGCATCTGAAGTGAGTGATGTGAACATGGTCCCTGTAACAAATCTGTTTTAATAATTATAACTACAGCCAAAGTCTGACTATAATCTGGGGCCACCACACCTAGTGGGGGCCCCTGGCAGGGGTGGGGGTGTCCCCCTCAGAGCCCTGGGCCCCAGCATGAGTGACCCCTCCAGACTGCCTCTCTGGACTTTGTTCCTGAGGGTTCGTGCTCTGAGCCCAGGGTTCCCGGACTGCACGCTGCCCCGACGCACCGGGTCCTGGGGTGCAGACACGAGCCCCCCTTACCTGGTGACTTTAGATGGTCTTGGTAGTCAGGTGTATATGGGTCAATCGTGCACATGAGCGTGTAAATGCACAGGGCGAAGAGTCCGGTCATCACGACATAGAAAGCCACATAGTAGAGGCTGATCCACACTGGGGGGGAGGTGAGGGGGGACAGAGTAAAACCGCCTGTCCAAGCACCTCCGTGCACGACTCAGTGGTGTTCACAGTGCATTCACACACCGCTCTGCACAAGCATCGGGTCTGTCAAGTTCCAGAATGTTCTCTTCACCCAAGAGGTGCTCCGCACCCATTAACAGTCTTTAAAAATGATAAGTTTGGGGTGCTGGGTAGCTCAGTAGGTTAAGTATCAACTCTTGGTTTCAGCTCAGGTCATGATCTCACTGTTTGTGAGTTCAAGCCCCACATTGGGCTCTGTGCTGACAGCTCAGAGCCTGATAAGTAAACATTAAAAAATTCTTTTGAACAAAATTAAAAATAAAAATCATAAGTTTTAGGAGCATAGCTTTAAATATACTGTTCTCTCAAGTCTATGGCTGAACCTTTGCATCTGACTCTCAGATGACCCCACTTTATCAGGGGGATTGGAGCCGGAATGGGCCTTGGGGTCATCTGGTGAGAGACATGCTGTCTCCCGGACAGGGCCTGGGTCTTGGGCGCCTGGACTGTGACAGCATCAGCGTCCCTGTCCCCGTGGGCACCCCCCCAGTGTCCCCATCCCCGCGGGCACACCCCCCCCCAGTGTCCCCGTCCCTGTGGGCACACCCCCCCCAGTGTCCCCGTCCCTGTGGGCACACCCCCCCCAGTGTCCCCATCCCCGCGGGCACACCTCCCTCCCCAGTGTCCCCGTCCCCGCGGGCACACCCCCCCCAGTGTCCCCGTCCCCACGGGCACACCTTCCTCCCCAGTGTCCCCGTCCCCGCGGGCACGCACCCCCAGTGTCCCCGTCCCCGCGGGCACACCTCCCTCCCCAGTGTCCCCGTCCCCACGGGCACGCACCCCAGCGAGACAGCGTCCGGCCCAGCATCTGCCCCGTGTCCGGGTTCCAGCAGTAGCGCTGGAACTCCTCCATCCGCTGGCTGCACGACTTCTTCTCCTGCAGCGCCGCCATCGCCCCTGCAGAACGGGGTGCTCCCCACACCTGGCCTGAGGGGAGAAGGGTGGCCTGTGGGTTTTATGGTCTCCTCCCCTGAAGGTCAAGGCTCCTGGGAAATCACCAGGGTGGTGTTATCAGGCTTTCCTATCCAAACACAGCGGCTATCAGATGCCTCCCTGCCTCGCCACCCTCCTCTCGGGATGCCCTTGGCCATGTCCTTGTCTGCTCTGGCCCCTGACTTCTTGTTGAAATGCAGCTTCTGACCCAGTGGGGGCTCCTGGTGGGCTGTGCCGGTGGCGTTAGTGCCACAGCCGTGTCCAGGGCGCGTGGGGCCCGACAGCACGTTCGGTCACTGGGGCTACCGTGGGTATGCCTGCCGCCTGTCTGAGGCCCGGAGTGAGCTGACCTGCCGGGGGCCCGACCGCCCGGACAGCTGCAGGCCCCCGACCGCCCCGACAGGACCAGAGGCCAGAGACCTTGGCAGCTTATGTGGCCGGGGCCATGACACGTGCTCACAGGGACACCTGTGTCTACAATGGGATCCGTGCGCCACAGAAGTGTTTTACAGACACCTGAGTCAAAGCCTGATTAGAATAATAGGTTTTGTACCCACGGACCCAGGATTTCATTTACTGTCCCCTCTAGGTTTTCCCTCTGAGGGGACATGTGTAGCCAGATTTGAAGGTTTCTTTTGGAAGAAGAATAATGTAAAGTCAGTTGTTTTGACTTATTTTCTTTAGGATGATTTAGAGTTTGTTAGCAAAATGAGCCTGTAAGATTCAGATGGAATTTTAGCCTGGACTCAGATGGAATTTTTTAATGGACCAAACCTGTGTGACTTGTGTAACACTGTTCTCATTCACGACTTTGGGATTTTAGGTCAGTAAGACCCAGTGGCATTAGGCTGCTATTTGCCCACACCCTGTGGGCCTGTGACCCCGGCTTCCGGGGCCTGAAGATACAGAGCAGCGACTGTTGGCTGAGAAATAAATGCCACCGTCGTCTGGGAAGTGTGGATATGTCCTTGAAATGAGCAAGACCTGAATCCTTTCTAGAAGTCATTGAAAGAAATCTTCCTCATTTCGTCCCTGGCTTCCCAGATGTGTGAAAGTGTGTGCTGCGCTGACACACGTTATCAGGATGCCCTCTGGGTGCGCGCCTGTGGGGGGAGGGGCAGGGGGACATGCCCCGGATGCACCATGAAGAGCGGGCTCCAGACAATGCGGGGAGCCCAGGCTTCTCCCCCACCTGGTAGGACTGTGGTGTGCCCCCCCCCCCCCCCGCTGCTGCTGGAGTGGAGTCAAAAAAAGCCAGTGAAAATGGAAGGATTAAATACTAGGAAATCGTCCAGGTTTCAACTGATAATCATGCCTTTTGATCAAGAACCAGGACGATTTCAAAATGAATTCAAACAAGGCAATCAAAAGGTGCCAATATCAAGGTGGCAAGGATGTTGGGGTCAGAGATTTTAAGGCAGTTGTGATAAAAATGCTTGAGTGAGCAATATAAACTTGCATGAAACAAATGAAAAAAAAGTAGAAAGTCTCAACAAAAAGAAAGTTTAAGGAAAGAAATAGAAGATATAAAGAAGAACCAATGGAAATATTATAAAAAATACAGTAATGAAAATAAAAAGCTCAATGAATGGATTCAGCTGCATAAGGGAGGGGACAGAGGAAAGAAATCTGTGACATGGAAGAAAAAACAATAGAAATTACCTGATCTGAACAGCAGAAAGAAAAAAATGCTCAGTGCCTCAGGGACCTGGGGACTAATGGATATGTGACATCTGTGTGATCACAGTTCTGGAAGGAGAGAAGAAAAGGGGCAGGGCTGAAAACTCCTAAACTTGCAGAAGGTATAAACCTTCACGTTCAAGAAGCCAAATGAAAACCAAATGGGATAACTCTCCCAAAATCCACAATACATCATCATTAAACTTCTGAAAATTGAAAACATACACACACAAAGAAAATCAAGAAAGCAGCCAGAGAAAAACCATTGGAATTACAGAAGATTACTCCTCAGAAACCAGAGATCAGAAGGAAGCTGCAGAGTATATTGAAATGCTGAAAGAAGAGACCTGTCAACCAGATCCCGAATCCAGCACAGATACCAGGAATGAAGGGGGCCCCACCATTCTCAAATGAAGGAAAAGGAAAGGAAGATAATTTGTCAGCAGCAGACTTATCCTAAAAAGATGGCTAAAGGAAGTCCTCTAAACAGAATGACAATGTTAAAAGAAGGAATATTGGAGCATTAGGAAAGATGAAATAATATGGTAAGCAAAATATGGGTAAATACTATAAGCTCTCCTTTTCTTCTTAAATTTCCTTCTCTCTTTTTTTTTATAGTTTATTCATTTTGAGAGAGAGCATATGCATGCATGAGCGAAAGAGGGGCAGAGAAAGAAGAGAGAGAGAATCCCAAGCAAGCCTGACACTGTCAGCACAGAGCCCAATGCAGGGCTTGAACTCACGAACTGTGAAATCATGACCTGAGCTAAAACCAAGTGTCAGACGCTTTACCATCTGAGCCACTCTACTTGAATTTTCTAACTTCTATTTGATGGTTGAAAAGCAAAACCATAACATTGCCTGATACTGTTCTAAATGTACATAGATGAAATAATTAAGGTAATTATAAACAGGAAAGGATAAAAGGATGTGATATTTCTGCACTTCGCTTGAAGTGCTAAAATGACAGCAATAGAATATGATAAATTACATATATATGATACCAACAGCAAGCAATAAAAATATGCATAAAGAGATGCACTCAAAAATGCTACAGATAAATCAAAATAGAATTCTAAAAATTTTTCAAAGTAACCCACAGGAAAAATGGCAGACCTCATCAACAATTACATTAAATGTAAATGCTATAAATACATCAATAAAAAAAAAAACCTCAGAGACTGACAGAATAGATTTAAAAAGGGACCCAAATATAGGCTGTCTACAAGAAACTTATCTCAGATAGAATGATATAGGCAGGTTAAACGGAAAAGGATGGAAAAAGATACATCATGCAAATAAATACTAACCAAATGAAGTGGGTGTGGTTATATGAATATCATATAGACTTCAGAGCAAATTACAAGAGACATTATATAATGATAAAAGGTCAACCATCAAGAAGATATAGTAATCTTAAATGTGTATGCACCAAACAACAGAGCTGCAAAATATGTAAAGCAAATAAAACTGGCTTCAACTTCTCTCTCAATGATTGATAGAATAGCTAAATAGAAAATCAGCATGGAAACAGAAGGATTCAACAATATTGTCAGTCAACAGGCTGCCATTGACATTTGTAGAATACCCCACCCAAGCACAATAGAATACACTTTCTAAGTGATCTTGGAACATATACCAGAATAGACCATATCCTGGGCCATAAAATAAAGCTTCACAAATGTAAAAGGATTGAAACCATTCCGTTTGTCCTCCAACCATGATACAATCAAACTAGAAACTGATAACACAAAGATAACAGGAAAAGCTTCAAACATGTCAAAACTAAATCATATTTCAAAGAATTCCTAAGTCAAAAGGAAGTCTTAAGGGAAATTAAAATATCGTAGGACTGAGGAAAACAAAAGTAGAACATCAAAATTCATGGGATGCAGCTAATGCAGTGTTAAAAGGAGAATTCAGGGGCACCTGGGTGGCTCAGTCAGTTAAGCATCTGACTCTTGCTTTCAGCTCAGGTCATGATCTCATGGTTTCATGGGTTCAAGCTCCATGTGGACCTCCATGCTGACAGCAAAGAGCCTGCTTGGGAGTCTCTCCCTTTCTTTCTGCTCCTCCCCCACTCAGGCTTGTCTCTGTCTCTCTCAAAAATAAATAAATAAACTTGTAAAAAGAATTTATAGTTCTAAATGCTTGTATCAGAAAAGAGAGGGAGTCTTAAATTAATAAGTTCCACTTGGAAAACGTAGAAAAAGGGGGGCGGAAGCAAGCAGAAGGAAGAAATAAAAGCTGAGAGCAGAAATCAATGAAATTAAAAGCAAAAGGGAAAATCAGTGAAAGAGCTGGTTCTTTGAAAAGTCAATAAAATTGACAAACCTATAGCAAGAGAATAGACATAAATAACCAAATTAAGGATGAAATGAGATATTACTACAGACCCTTCAGACATAAAGAGAAAACGCCACACACAACTTTACACACACAAATTTGACAGATGAACTTGGCCACTCCTCAAAAAGCACAACTTGTCCCATTTGAAATACAGAATTTGAATCGCCCTGTAACTATTAAGGAAATTGAATTTATAATGTAAGTTCTCCCAACAACTACAACAACAACAACAACAACAACAAAAACCCCTTCAGGCCCTGATGGCTTCACTGGAGAATTCTACCAAACATGTAATGAATAGCACAAATTGTGTCCTGTATCCTTTGGAAAATAGAAGGGAACTTCCCCACCTGATTTATGAGACCAGCACACCCTTCACCAAATCAAAGGTAACACAGAAACCAAAAACAACTATAGACCAAATCCCTCACAAATACAGACACAAAATTCTTTAACCAAGTATTGGCAAATTGAATCCAACAATGTATAAAAAACATTCAACACCGCGACCAAGGGGTATATATTCTGGGGATGCAGAGCTGGTTCGATATTAAAAAATCAGTCAATGTAAAACCCCACATTAACAAGCTAAAGAAGAAAAGTCATGTGATCATATGAGCTGATGCACAAAAGCACTTGACAAAATTCAACATTCATTTAAGATAAAAAAACTCTCAGCAGACTAGGAATGGACAGAAACTTTATTAAAAGCATTGACAGAATCTCTATAGCCAACATCCTATCTAGTGGGGAAGGACTGGTATCTACCCCAAGATCAGTAGCGAGGCCTGGACTTCTGTGCTCACTTCTTTGAGTCAGCCTTGTGCTGGGCGTTCCAGCTGGTGGAACAAGCAAGAAAAGGCAGACAGGCCAGAAGGGAAGATACCAAGGTCCCTATTTTCAGACAGCAGGATGGTATATGTAGGAAATGCCAAAGACTGAAGAAAATCTAGTGGGTTTAGCAAGGCAAAGTATGCAAGATTAATACCCTCAAATCAACTGTATTTCATTAACTAGCAATGAACACAGGGGTACCAAAATTAAAACTACACTACGATTGGCATTTGCTCGTAACGAACAGGAATATTTAGGTGTTAATCCAACAGAACACATAGGGAACTTGTGTGCTCAAATATACACAATGGTGAGGGAGGACGGACCGCGTTCAGAGGTTGAGAGACTCAGTGTAGTAAAGATGTCAGTTCTCCCCAGTTGATGTGCAGGTGTAATTCCTATCAAGGTCCGAGGTAGATTTTTTTGTGTAGATGTGGACAAGACTATTGTAAGACTTACATAGAAAGGCAAAGGAAGTGGACTATTTTCTTCCATATTTTGAATACTTAGTTTTAAAATATGTGTTTTGAGGGGCATCTGGGTGGCTCAGTCGGTTAAGCGTCCAACTTCGGCTCAGGTCATGATCTTGCGGTTCATGGGTTCGAGCCCCGCGTCGGGCTCTGTGCTGACAGCTCAGAGTCTGGAGCCTGTTTCAGATTCTGTGTCTCCCTCTCTCTCTGACCCTCCCCTGCTCACACTGTCTCTCTTTCTCTCTCAGAAATAAATAAAAACATTAAAAAAGTTAAATATGCGTTTTGAAAAATATTTTTGGAAAAGAATTAAGTCAACAACTCCGATTACTCAGTTCCAAGCTTATCATCTGCTCTGTGTATCAGGTACAGTAACAGAGAGGCCGGTGCTGGAGCAGAACAGACCACACTAACGTGCGCACTGCGTCTCCAAGCAGCTCGGGACAGGCGCACAGTCGCCGGCCCACCCCAGGCCGCTGAAGCAGAGTCTGTTTTGGCAAAGTCTCTGGGCGATTGGTGTGTCAGGCACCGCTGGGAAGTGTGGGCTCCAAGAAACACTGGAAGGCGGTGCTACCACAAACCCTGACCACTGTCTGTTGAGCCCTGCTGGGGAGGCAGGAAGGGGCTAAGGCAGGGGACTTGGGCTGCGCGCACATCGAGTTCTCACTTCCGCCTCCCTGCCTTCCACCCGCACCCCCTCCCAGGCCCTCCTGGGAGTAGTGGTGCGGGGAGGGGGGTCGTCCCGGGTTCGGCCTCTCCTGCCTCAGCATTCTTGTTTCTGCAGCCCCTCCATTCCTCCCCTCTTTCAACTGTAGTCAGCCCCCATTGCTTCCTTTTCTTCCCCACACATTCACTGAGTACCTGCAGTACTCCTTGGGCCTGGCATCCCCAGATGTACCGCAGATATGCCCTAGGTGTCCCCTAGATGTCCCCTAAGTGTGTCCCCCAGGTGTGTCCCAGGTGTGTGCCCCAGGTGTGTCTCCCCCAGGTGTGTCCCCCCAGGTGTGTCCCCCCCAGGTGTGTCTCCCCCAGGTTGTCCCCCAGGTGTGTCCCCCCCAGGTGTGTCCCCCCAGGTGTGTCCCCTCAGGTGTGTCCCCCCAGGTGTGTCCCCCCCAGGTGTGTCCCCTCAGCTGTGTCCCCCCAGGTGTGTCCCCCCAGGTGTGTCCCCCAGCTGTGTCCCCCCCAGCTGTGTCCCCCCAGGTGTGTGCCCCAGGTGTCCCCCCCAGGTGTGTCCCCCCAGGTGTGTCCCCCAGCTGTGTCCCCCCCAGCTGTGTCCCCCCAGTTGTGTCCCCCCCAAGGTGTGTCCCCTCCAGGTGTGGGCCCCAGATATGTACCCCCAGCTGTCCCCCCCCAGCTGTGTCCCCCCAGGTGTGTGCCCCAGGTGTCCCCCCCAGGTGTGCCCTGCCCTCTCTCACTCCTGCTTCCGTGGGGGACCTCAGCCCTGGGTGTAGCTGGGGTCTCCCGCTTCAGTCCTAACTTCACTTGAAACACCTGCAGGCATTTCTGCTTTGCTGGCACAGCCCAGGAGAGGGGAGGGAGCTGACGTGGAGCTGATCCCTGGGCAGGTGCCGGGGTTACCTTAGGTCTCAGAGCGGGCACGTGACCTGGGGGCAGGCTGCTGTCCGTGTCGGGCCAGGTCCCCACAGACCAGAGGTCCCCCTGCCAGTGGTCTCACCCATGGACACCCCAGGGAGGTGTTTGCCTGTGAGCTCTCACTGCTTTTTCTCTGTGAATTCCTAGGATCACCTGATTTTCTTCCCACTTGCTATTTTTTTAAGACAGAAATGAAATATAGTGGGAAAAGCACCAGCCGTCTCTACTGAATCAGGGTCTCTCCTGGGCCCCGCTGCCTTCTGCCCCTGTGCCCCCCGTCGCCTCAAGGAGACGAACGGGTCCCCGTGTGCCTAGGCTGGGGACGACCTCAGCGACGCGCCTCGGGGCCAGGGTTTGTCCTTCCTGGCGGGCCCCCGGGAGGAAGGAGCCCCCAGGACGGGCCGTCTAATCCGACTGGAAGCAGCTTAGCGGATTGTCTTTTTCTGGCACCTGGTCTGTGACCCCGGGCTGGGATTTGGCCAGAGCTGCGTCAGCTGGGTGCCCCAGGCTCCTGGCACGGCCTCCAGTCAGCCCTGCACCTGCCGGGACGCCTGCTGACCGGGGAGGGCAGGGGGCGCGGGCCAGGGCGGCAGGTCGGGCCCCTAGTGCGCGACGCGGTGGGAGGTTGGCGCCGGCATGGATTTCGGGTCCCTGGAGACCGTGGTGGCCAACTCGGCCTTCATCGCTGCGAGGGGCAGCTTCGATGGGAGCAGCGGCCCGTCCTCCCGGGACAGGAAGTACCTGGCCAAGCTCAGGCTGCCCCCGCTGTCCAAGTGCGAGGGCCTCCGGGAGAGCCTGGACCTGGCGTTCCCCAGCGTGTGCTCGGAGCAGCCCATCGGCAAGCGGCTCTTCCGGCAGTTCCTGGAGGCGGACGAGCGGCACGCGCCGGCCCTGGAGCTCTGGAAAGACATCGAGGACTACGACACCGCTGACGACGACCTCCGGCCGCAGAAGGCCCGCGCCATCCTGGCCGCGTACCTGGACCCCCAGGCCAAGCTCTTCTGCAGCTTCCTGGACGCGGGGGCGGCGGCGCAGGCCCGGGAGGGGCCCGTGGCCAGCGGGGACGGGCTCTTCCAGCCCCTGCTGCAGGCGACCCTGGCGCACCTGAGCCAGGAGCCCTTCCGGGAGTACCTGGGCAGCCTGCACTTCCAGCGGTTCCTGCAGTGGAAGTGGCTGGAGGCGCAGCCCACGGGGGAGGACTGGTTCCTGGACTTCAGGGTCCTGGGGAAAGGTGGCTTCGGGGAGGTGTCCGCCTGCCAGATGAAGGCCACCGGCAAGTTGTACGCGTGTAAGAAGCTCAACAAGAAGAGACTCAAGAAAAGGAAGGGGTACCAGGTGGGCAGCCGGCCGCTCACGGCAGGCGGGAGGGGCACCCTGACACGGGCAGGCGGGCCCTTCGCGGGCTGGGTCCCCCGACGGAGCGGAGCGCGGCCGCCCTCTGGCCAGCGCCTCGGCGTGGCTGCTCGGAGCCGCTGGCCCGGCGCCCTGCACGCACGCGTGGTCGCCGGGATCCCTCCTCGGCGTCGGCCTTCGTGTCGTTGGTGTGGACGGCACCGTACAGCCCGCTGGCCTCCTTGTTTCACCAACACCACGCAGTGTGGGAGCTGGTGTTGGAGGGAGGCCGCCCTTTCCTCCGGCGCTCTGGGGCTCCTCACGCTGGGGGCAGCCGGCCCTGGCCGTCTCTAGAATGTCTCCCGGGCTCAGGGGAGCCGACGCCCGGCAGGCTGCCGTGTGGGGTCTGCTGTTCCCAGCTCGGGTCAGACCCGCCGCGGCGAGGACAGCGAGGGCCGCTCTGCGCATCTCCTGCGCGCATCTCCTGTCCTTTCCCGCTGCACACAGCAGACACTGCTTTTCGGGGTAAACGGCAGCTGCCGAGGGTGCCTGCCTGGGGGCTTCTTGCCAGTGCTCCCCCCTTGGGGCTGCGGGAGGAGCCCAGGCCGGCGTGGTCTCCCCCCTCGGCGTCTTCGGTCCCGAGTTCAGGGTCCTCACCGAACTTAACACCCAGGAGGACCAGCCCGCACTGCACGTCTGCAGCGTGGACGCAGAGGGGCCCCCGGAACATCAAGGGTTCCTCCCTCGAACAGGAGTCCGGCCTTCCTTATCCAAGCACACCTTTAAAATATTCTAAATGGACTCGCGAGGCTTGAAAACAAAGACAGAAATGAAGAGATGCGGGGGGCGCCCGGCTGCTGCGGGGTGGGGGTGGGGGCGGGGGCGGGCTGTTTGGACGTAAGGAAGGACCGAACAGGCAGCCGCCGACGTGCCGGGTCCTCACCTGGCGTCTTTAAGGCTGGCGGTCCGGCTCCTGCCCCCGGAGGCTCCAGGAGGCCCGAAGGCCTCTGGACGTGTCGTCGCCGGGGCTGGGGCGACCGACACCCGTGTGTGTTATGGGCGGGTGCTTCGAATACGTTTGCAACTCTATTTCTGCTTCCGGCTTGTGGGACTTGGGCTTTTATGGTGACGTCACTTTCCCGCTCAAACCCGGGTACTTATTCAAGATCTTGCTTTTCAGGGTGCTATGGTAGAGAAGAAGATTCTAGCAAAGGTACACAGCAGGTTTATAGTCTCTCTGGCCTATGCGTTTGAAACCAAAACTGACCTCTGTCTGGTGATGACTATCATGAATGGAGGCGACATAAGGTAAGCAGGGAGTGAGTTGGAGCAGGGTCTCTGGGGCCCCGTGGGGCTGCCCCCCATCAACACGCTCCTCTCTGCCCCCTGGTTGCTGAATCTCCACGTGATGTGTCCTCAGCACCACGTGAAATGCGGGGCCGTGGGGAGGTGGCCCACAGCTCTCTGGTCACTGGTGGACGAGGGTTTGTGTGGCTGCGGGCTGGAGGCACAGGGGCCGTGGGTCAAGCGCCATTTGGGTTGGACCGATGAGCAAAGGGTGGGCCAGGGCCCTGCTCTTGGGGATCACGGCAGAGCCGGAAACGACGTGGCCAACTTCGGGACCGTGGCTTTGCTGTCCGTGTATCCAGTGCCTGGGTTTGCCGGAGGCCTGAGAGCCCGACTGTGGGCTCCCGCGGGAAGTCGGACCACAGGCTCTCGGCGCAGAAAGACCCAGTGCAAGTCGAGCAACCTGCCTGCCCTTGCCTCAGTGTGCTGGTCTGTGAAATGGGGATGAAGAATAATACTAGTATTCTCAGGGCGTTGTGGGGAGTAAGTTACCACATAGTAGGCACCCGGAGGAGTGTCGCGTGGCACACAAACGGGGCCGTCACTGTTGGTGTCACTTGCAAGCCCTCTGCCTCCGTTCCTCCTGCGGGTCCATCTCCAGCGAAGCTCTGTCAGGTGTCTGTTGGCCCCATTTTCCAGGTGGGGATTCTGAGGCCTTGAGTAAGGAGCCCATGTGAGGCCACACGGAAGAGGAAGTACAGACAACATGACTTAAAGAGAGCAGAGATGATCATGACGCTGCTGTACCGTATCGTACCACATGACACGTCACTCTGCACGGTTGTGCTGCACCACACGCCCCACGCTGCCCTGTGCCACACCCTACTGCGCCACGTGACACCACACTGTCGTATCCGGCGCCCTGCTACAGCACGCTGCAGCACACTACAGGACGTTACAGCACACTACAGCACACTACACTACAGCACACTACAGCACACTGCGCACACTACACTACAGCACACTACAGCACATGACAGCACACTACAGCACACAACAGCGCACTGCAGCACATGACAGCACACTACAGCACACAACAGCGCACTGCAGCACACTACACTACAGCACACTATAGCATGCTACAGGATGTTACAGCACACTACAGCACACTGCGCACACTACACTACAGCACACTGCAGCACACTACAGCACACGACAGCACACTCTAGCACGCTACAGGATGTTACAGCACACTACAGCACACTGCAGCACACTACACTACAGCACACGACAGCACACGACAGCACATGGCAGCACACTACTCTATAGCACACTACAGCACACTGCAGCACGCTACAGGATGTTACAGCACACTACAGCACACTGCAGCACACTACAGCACACTGCAGCACACTACACTACAGCACACGACAGCAGACGACAGCACATGGCAGCACACTACTCTATAGCACACTACAGCACACTGCAGCACACGACAGCACACAGTAGCACACTACAGCACACGACAGCACGCTACAGTACACTACACTACAGCACACTGCAGCACACTACAGCACACGACAGCACGCTACAGTACACTACACGACAGCACACTACAGCACACAACAGCACGCTACAGCACACTATACTACAGCACACTGCAGCACACGACAGCATGCTATAGCACACGGCAGCACACAGCAGCACACTCTCGTAGACTTTGCCATGCGGCTCTCCACTACTGCACTGCACTGCACTGCACCACTCTGTGCTGCTCCACACCACACCATACTGCACCACACAATAGTCTACCTCACCACACTACACTGTAGCACACTGCAGCATACTACACTAGACCACAGTATACTATACTGCACCGCATCGTGTTATGCTCTACTACACTACCCAATGCTATGTGACACTGTACCACACTGTCCTAAACTACACAACTCCACACTAGACTTAACTACACTGGACTAGACTACAGCGTGTTACACTACACCGTACTACACTGTCCAACACTGCACAATAGTATATACATACTGTACCATTCTATACAACACTATACTAGACCACACTACAGTGCTGTGCGCGGTATACTCTGCTCCACTGTGCGATACGTGACTATACTATGTGACACTACAGTATATTGTACTATAACATACTATACTCTGCTACATCATACTGCCCCATCCTGTACTGCACCATACTATACCAGCCCACACTGTACTGCCTTATACTATACTATGTCATTCTCTACTATACTACTTTATAGCACACTGTGCCACGCCACACCACGCCACACCATACAACACTGCTCTGTATTACACTACACCACATCACACCACACCACGGTGCACTACGCTACACTATCCTACCTTACGCCTTATTACACTATGTTGCTCTCTACTCTACACCATTGCATAATACACTGTACGATGCCACCCTACACTACACCGTACTACCCTGCACACCCCACGCTACACTGTGCCACCCCGCATGACGCCACACCGCACTGCACTGCATCATACGACGCTGCACTAACTGTAGTGCGCTACACTCTGTTATGAAGTAAATGTAATAAAAGCCACTTATTTTGTTATCCCGGCTTTCTCAAGGTCTGGCTTATGTGAGGTTCCCCGTCTTGTTCCCTTGGCCCGCCTCTCCCTGGTTGCTCTCTGGTATAGATGGTTTGTTTCTCTTTATCGTGAGCTCACTAGGTCTTGCTTCCGTGCAGAACGTGATAGTGGAAAGATGGGGAGGGGGGAGGCTGGACGGAAACGGCGCTGCAGGCCCACCCGGGAGTCTGCGTGTGTGGACTTGGCGAGATAGCCGAGGCGCTTACCTGGACGCTATATCGACTGCTTAAACTGAGTGACTCCGGTGGCTTGCGTGGGCTTCCTTCACCGCCCTCTGCCCGTCCTCCCTGGGCTGGCGCTGGCGAGATGGCTTTGGGGAGCATTTCCAGCTTTGCAGGCCAGTGTGGGGGAGGCGGGAGAGCAGTGCACTCTGCCCGTCTCCTGGGTGGTCGTGGTAGGGTCTGTGGGGGCGTGACCACCAGCCGCTGGGGGCTCTTGGCGCCGCGGCAGGCTCTTCGGGCTGACGCCGAGGCCCCCCAGGGCCCAGACGCTTTGCTGACACAAAATGGGACTTTGAGGCTCTCACTGTTTCCTGAGATTTCACTTTCCATGGAAACTGGGGGCCCGTTGTTGTGCCGGAGCAGCATGGGCCTCTGCGTGGTCTGCCCCCAGATACCACATCTACAACGTGAACGAGGAGAACCCCGGCTTCCAGGAGCCACGTGCTGTCTTCTACACGGCGCAGATCATCAGCGGCCTGGAGCACCTGCACCAGAGAGCCATTGTCTATCGAGACCTCAAGCCTGAGAACGTGCTCCTGGACGACGACGGTGAGGGGGCCTCCCTCCCCGCCTGGCCTTCCCCTTCCCAGTACCCCCTCCAAGGGTCCCCCTCCAGGCCCCCCCTCCCAGCCTCCCCTCGCGGCCCCCCCTCGGGGCCCCCCCTCCCGACCTCCCCTCCCAGCCTCCCCTCCAGGCCTTCCCTTTCCCAGTACCCCCTCCAAGGGTCCCCCTCCCGGCCTCCCCTCCTGGTCCCCCCTCTCAGCCTCCCCTCCCGGCCTCCCCTCCCGGCCTCCCCTCCCAGCCTCCCCTCTGGCCTCCCCTCCCGGCCTCCCCTCCCAGCCTCCCCTCCCGGCCTCCCCTCCGGCCTCCCCTCTGTGGCCCGACAGGTCACCCGTAGGGAGATAGGCCAGTTTTGATAAGTGTTTGTTGTAGCTTTAAACAGCATCAAAAGACATCTTAAGTTTGTTGTTCATTTCATACATTTTGCACAATTGTCTCCAAATTTTTTGATGGATTGAGTTGAAATCCGGGGGATAATCAGGCCCCAAGCGTCACGGGGAGTTAACTCCACATGACTCTAGTCGTGGAACGATTGGCAAAGAGTTAATATTTCATTACTGATTATAAACCCTCAGGCTGTCACTCTTCCTGCCTTTTATGGAACTCTCGTCAGAAGGTGACGCGGAGATCTAGGTTTCCTCTGTGTCCCTTAGACAGCCTCCCTTTGTGTCCCCAAGTCACGCAAACGTAGTGATCTCCAGACAGGGCTTGGGGGGACCGTGTCCCCAGGCACAGCCACAGGTCTGCTGGGGGCCCCGGGGGGGGGGGCTTGTGCTGTGAGCGTGTGCCCGTGGGCGCACGTGTGCCCTTGCATATGTGTGCACACGTGGGCAGAGGCTGCCCTTGGCTCCTGCGGGCGCCTTTGTTCTGTAGAGCTGCGTGTGACCTCCGTCCGTGTTTGCTTTCAGGCAATATCCGCATTTCTGACCTTGGGCTGGCCGTGGAGCTGAAGGACGGGCAGACCAAGACCAAGGGCTATGCAGGAACCCCAGGTGAGCACCCCAGAGCGAGGGTGGGTCCGTGGGGGCCCCATCTGTCAGAGCGAAGAGCAAACCTTTGGGACCCGCCAGCTGCACCCACTGCAGGGACGACCCTCCCGCCTGCTGCTTCTGACGCGTCACGCCCTCTGAGATAGAAGCTTCCGCCTTCAGTGGCTTTCTGGACATCAGCAGAATGTGTTTGTCTGGAGGGGAGCCCGACAATGTCGGCTGGAGCCCTGATGGCCTGTGCGCAGTGAATCACTGGCTGTGCCCCCACCAAGGTGGGCAGCCTGGGAAAGCCACGAGGGGTACCCAGCCCTCGCCTCAGTGTGCCCAGGGCCTTCTCTGTCCACGGGAGTCCAGGGTAGGGTGTGAGGCAGGTGGGGCGGCCTCACAGGGGAGGGGGCCGCCCGCATCCTGTGTGTGTGTGTGTTGTGTGCGCGCGCGCGCGTGCATACACACGTGTCTGTGTTTACATTTGTGTGTGTGCATTGTGCATGTGTTATGTGTACACGCACACGTGTCTCTGCAGGTGTATGAGTGTGCTTGTGCATATGTGTGCATGTGTATGAGTGTGCATGTGTGCACGTGTTTGCATCTCTATGTGTGTGCACGTGTGCACGTGCGTATATGCATGCATGTGTATGAGTGTGTGCATATGTGTGGGTGTGTATGTGAGTGCATGTGTATGTGTGCACGCATGTGTATGTGTGCGGGTGCATATGCATGTGTATGAGTGTGCAAGTGTGTGTATGCTTGCATGTGTATATGCATGTGTGTGTACACATGTGTATGTGCATGCGCGTGTATGAGTGTGTGTGGGTGTGTATATGGGTGCATGTGTATGAAGTGTGTGCATGTGCACGCGTGTATATGGGTGCATGTGTGTGAGGTCTGTGCACGTGCACACGTGTATATGGGCTCATGTGTGTGAGTGTGTGCATGTGTGTGCGTGTGTATATGCGTGCATGTACAAACATGTTCTGCTGCCCCCCATCTCCCCTCACCCCGGGCCTGCAGAGAACACAGGAGACCCTGGGAGCAGGGGCGGGATGGGCACAGCACAGCAGCCCAAGCAGCAGGAGGGGCTCAGGCCCACAGGCTGTGGGCACCTGACGGTCGGTCCCCCTGCCCCCCACCCCCCATGTTCCGGAAGGTCCAGGGACTCTCAGTAGATCCTCTCCTGGGTTGACCTGGCTTTGGGGAGGAAACGCTGCCAAGGTGGGTGTGTCCTCATGGGTGGCTTTGTTCAGGGGAGGGTCCCATCTTGAGTTTCCCACATCCTTGGTCAGAATCTGTGAAGTTCCAGCCCTGAGTGTGAGCGCGTGAGTGGAAACACGTATTTCGAGGCGATTCAAACCATGAGGCGGAAGCTGTGGAGAATGAGGCGCCACGGCTGCCTTCCGAGCGGTCTGACTGCAGGGCGTCCGCGGGCCCTGCTGGTGCCGAGTGTGAGGGCCCCGCAGCCTCTCGTGGCTGCTGCCTTTCCCTGGGCAGCGTCCTGGCTTCTGCGCCTTTGGGCCGGGGCAGGGTGGGGCCTGCAGAGGCCCGGCCGAGGCTACCCAGGCTACTGTGCGTTGTGCCCAGGTGCGGTGACACCTGCCGCCTCCTTCTCCCCTACCCCTCTGCACCCTGCCTGCTGTGGCCGCGGGCAGCAGGCTGTCAGCCCTGCGCAGGAGGGATGTGAGCGTGCCCTCTGACCCCACGGACGCGGGGCTGGGTCAACGCAGAAGAATTAGTAACTAGAGGGAGGAGTGTTCGCTCACTCATTCACTCACCCGGTCATTCATTCATGCATCTGCTCGCTCATTCATTCACCCGCTCACTCGCCACCCGCTCACTCATTCATTCACCCGCTCGCTCATTCATTCACCCGCTCACTCATTCATTCACCCGCTCACTCATTCATTCACCCGCTCGCTCATTCATTCACCCGCTCACTCATTCATTCACCCGCTCACTCATTCATTCACCCGCTCACTCACCACCTGCTCACTCACCACCCGCTCGCTCACTCATTCACCCGCTCGCTCATTCATTCACCTGCTCACTCATTCACTCACACACTCAGTCATTCACCCAGTCACTCAGTCATACACTCATTCATTTGCTCACTCATTCACCTACTCACTCCTTTATTCATTCACTCACTCATCCACTCAGCCGTTCACTCACTCACCTACTCATTCATTCACAAACATTTGCTCACTCATTCATTCATTCATCTGCTCATTCAGTCACATACCCATTCACCCATTCACCCATTCACTCACCTGCTCTCATTCCTTCACCTGCTCACTCATTCCTTCACTTACTCATTCATGCTCCCGCTCATTCACTCATTCATTCACTCACACACTTGCTCAGTTATTCTTTCATCTGCTCACTCTGCTCACTCACTCATTCATTGCCTCAGTCATCCAGTCACTCGCTGTGCATTCAGGTGACAAATGTTTACTGGTGCTTTCTCCTCCTGGAGATACAAAACAATGTGTCACCCAGACCAGGTTGGGATATAGACCAGAGCCACCACTGTGGTGTTTTGCAGAAACTGATCCCCTCCCTGAGGCCTGGCTTTCTCCCAGACAGTGTTTCAACCTCAAAGTTGTGGCCAGTGAAACCCATCTTTTTCATACCATCTGAGCAGTCTGGATGGTGGTGCAGTTTCTGAAAAGCAGGACCTAAAAAGGCAGAAGGGGTGGGCCTACGGGACTGGACTTCTGTGACCTGTCTGGGACAAGTGAGTCGGTGGTCACACTGGCTTGGCTGCCTTTGCTGAGCACACCCCCTCTTGGACCCTGGCCGTGAACATGGTATATGGAGGGCCAGGAGGGACAGGAAGTCAACAGACACACTAGCTTTCCTTCCCTTGGAATGTGTGCGGCCGTCAGGCACAGAAGCCATCTGCACCCACCCCAGAGCACCGACCCCTGGTCCCAAGGGAGTGGCCATGGGTCCCAGAAACTGGCCCATCCACCCTTCCCATGTGCTGGCTGGCTTCCGTACGGTGGCAGTTAGGGAGTAGAACCCCAGAGCTTGCTTTCAGGCTCATGGACCTGCACAGTGTGGGGCTCCCCAACTCCCCAAACGTGGCTGACCTGGTGTGGGAACAGATGGGGCAGTGGTGGGCATCTGGATGGCTCTTTGGAATATCTGGCCTTCAATCTGTCCTTTTGTGCCCTTTTCAGAAGCAACTGGTAGTGCCTGTCTCTGACCACACACCCCCATGACCCCACACATGAGGTCACACTCATGCCTAAGTTGCAAGCAAGGACCGTCACTCTGTGTGTGTGGTTCTGAGGGGCCATCTGTGTGTGTGTGTGTTTCTGAGGGACCGTCACTGTGTGTGTGGTTCTGAGGGACTGTCACTCTGTGTGTATGGTTCTGAGGGACCGTCACTCTGTGTGTGTATGGTTCTGAGGGACCGTCACTGTGTGTGTGGTTCTCAGGGACCGTCACTCTGTGTGTGTGGTTCTCAGGGACCGTCACTCTGTGTGTGTGGTTCTCAGGGACCGTCACTCTGTGTGTGTGGTTCTCAGGGACCGTCTCTGTGTGTGTGGTTCTCAGGGACCATCACTCTGTGTGTGTGGTTCTCAGGGACTGTCTGTGTGTGTGTGTGGTTCTCAGGGACCGTCACCCTGTCTGCTTACTGTGGCGTGCCACCAGGGAGACAGGCATCACGGCACAAGTGATGTGGACAGCAGTGGTTCTCAAGCAGGGACAATTATGCCTGGAGGGGACACTGTGTGCTGTCGGGAATGTTTGGGTTGTGACACCTGAGGCCTTAACTCCTGGCCACGGGCCGGGGACACTGTCCACACTGTGGCACTCGGGCAGCCCCAGCACGGAAGGTCGTGCATGTGGGTCGTCGGCCCCTCCCACCGGGCTGGGTGAGTGACGGCCACCACGTGCCGCGTCCAAGCCTGCGCTGTTACCTGGCAGGTTTCATGGCCCCCGAGCTGTTGCGGGGTGAGGAATACGGCTTCTCTGTGGACTACTTTGCCCTGGGGGTGACGCTGTATGAGATGATCGCAGCCAGAGGACCCTTCCGCGCCCGAGGAGAGAAGGTAGGAGGTCACTCCACCCCCCGCGGTGGCCCCGCTTGTTATGGGGGGCTGTTCACATGTTCTCACGGGCAGGAGAGGGGACACGGTGGCCCCGTCTCATGGCGCTCCCCACACTGAGCTGTGTCTCAGGACCAGCCATGCTGGGCCCCCCAAGCCAACCCCACGAGCAGCGCTCAGCCCATCTGGGGCCCAGCCGGTCTAAGGGGGATGCGGCCTCGCCCCTCCTGCTTTCCCCGCAGAGCAGCGAGCTCGCTGTCACCTGCTCCAGCATGGCAGCCTTTCTGAAGAGAGGGCAGCAGGTCTCACGCCTCTGTGCCCTGACCCCTGGGGCACGTCCCCTCCTGCACCGTCTGCCCCAGAGGCTGCAGGTGCTGTTACCTCGGAGTCGCCTGGGGTCCTGCTCCGACCACCACGGTGGAGCAGACGCCGGGTAAAGCGAGTCAGACGAACGTTCTGGTGTCCCAGTGACCATAAAGATCACATGTCCACATGCCACAGCCTGCTGAGTGTGCAGCGGCCTCGGTCCCAAACAGCCTGTGTACCTTAATGAACAAACACAGCTGGGTTCCCAGCGAGTTGTGATCACTGATCACCATAGCAAATAAAACAACAATGAAGACGTTTGAAATTCTGTGAGACACGTGGGCAGCCCACGCTGTTGGGGAAGGGGTGCTAGCAAGTCTGCTGCCCTTTGTAAAGACCGCAGCATTGCCACCAACGGTATCTGGGGACTCATCGCCCGCTCGAAGCCCAGCGGAGGCACCAGGAGCCGGGGCTGAGGAGGCCGGAGGGCAGGAGGCATCTGCAGGGCCTGTGGGAGCAGCCTCTTTAGCCGGCCCGAGGTCACGCCCCTCGCTTCTTCTGCCTGGGTCCCCGAGTGTGTCCGTCCCCAGGCCTGCCCTGGCCCTGACACACCCAGGCTTCTGGGAGCAGAGAGCACTCATGTGGCTACACGCCAGCCGCTCTGCGTCTCTGCTCGGCCGCCCTCATCGCTATGACGCGTTTTCTCTCCTGACTTCCAACCACTCGCAAGAACAAGACGAGGCTAGCGGTGCGGAACCCACATGCAGCGAGAGGCCCAGCCCAGAGCTCCCACCGACCCCACGGCCCCGACCAGAAGCGCTGCTTTCTGCGTGCGCGAGCCTGACCCGTCAGGCACAAGGTGTGCAGCGGGCCCGCGGCGGCCCATGGCCTGCTCCACGGCCTGCGGCCCACCGGGCGTCAGACCCGTGATGGCAGATGAGTGACTCTGGGTGCGCCTGTCTCTATGCCACGTTAGGAAGGCAAACCTAGCCTGTGGTGAGAGTACACGGCCGGTGTTTGCCAAGCTGGGGGGCAGACGGGCTGCAAAGGGCACAGGGCACGTTTGGGGTCTTTGTGGGGCTCCCTGGTCACTGGGAACAGGGTCCTGTGGTATAGGAACTGTACTCCATAAAGTGGATTCAAGCTTGCCCTCAGTTTCTACCCAGTCAGGAGGTCTCTGCCAGCTCAGTCTACAAGGTTGGCTCTTTTTCTCTTACACTTCTCGCTTTCTCCAGTGGCTGAGGAATGGGTACATGGATGCACCGAGGCACCAGCCAGAGCGCCCCAACCTTGCCCAGCACCGCTGGGGTGCCTGGGGGCCTCGCATTCAGGGCCCGCCATCACCTCGGGCCGGCATCTTCCTGGGAGATGGCTGGCACCGGCCTGCACGGGCTCAGCAGGCGTGACGTGACGCGGTGTGTCCCGTGTGCAGGTGGAGAACAAGGAGCTCAAGCAGAGGGTCCTCTCCGAGCCTGTCAAGTACTCGGACAAGTTCAGCCAGGCCAGCAAGGACTTCTGCGAGGCGCTGCTGGAGAAGGACCCCGAGAAGCGCCTGGGGTTCAGAGACGGGACGAGTGACGGGCTCCGCGCCAACCCCCTCTTTAAGGACATTAACTGGAGACAGCTCGAGGCCGGTACCGTCTGCTCACCTTTGGATCTGGGGGTCCCGGGGGGGCAGGCCCATCGGGAGGTCCCTGCTTGCCCTGCCTGGTCCCTTGGTGCCTCTTGAGCGGTGACATCAGCAGAGATGCCCTGTGGCCTTCTGTCACCAACCAACCACCATCCCCACTTCTCTGTCACCTGCGCCCCAGGCCTGGGTGTTCACACAAAGGTCTCTTGTGCTGGTAGTTGGGTGGGATGCTTGCGGGACGTGCTGCTCGCCCTTGAACTAAGGATCCAGACCCGTGCTATGGATTTCCACACCCTGTGCTTTTAAGGAGCCCCGGTCCACGACAGGGCAGGATCCCCGTGCTCTTGAGAGAAGCTCGTTCCCTCAGTCTGTGTTGTCAGGTGTCACTTGGGCACAGGTGTGTGTGTGCAGACGCGGCCTGTCCCTGAGCCTGCGGTAGGGTGTGTGAGCCTGTCACCCCGCACAGGAGCCCTGAGCATCAGATGACCACAGGGAGGAGGCTCTGTGGTGGGGCAGGGGTGCAGTGCAGGGAAGATGGGAGCCAGGGGAGCTGGGGCCTGGGGGGTCCTGAGGCCACTTCACTGGTCTGGCAGGAGGCCCGGCCCGGGGGCTGCACTGAAGGGAAGGGCGGGTGGCGGGGCCACGGGGGTCACGTGGCTGGCACTGTATATTGGTGACTGAAGGACCTCGGCTCCCGAGCAGGCTGGGAGACAAGCCGGCTTTGGAAAGAAGATGAGTTCAGTCCTGACCGTGCTGGGTTCGAGGGGTCGCTCCTGCAGACAAGGAAGCCCCTGGGAGGCTGGCCTGGGGACGCGGGCCAGAGCACGCTGTCCTTTGCTGTGGGTGCCCGGGAGGCACGTCCTGCCTGGTCGCTAAGACCCTCACGCCCGCTCAGCGTGAAACCCAGAAACCCATCCAGACACCCCGGGAAGGGCAGCCCTGCTCGCTGAGCACACGGCCGCTTCCCTCTGCACATGGCATTTCCCACCCTTGTTTCCTGTCTCCTCACAGGGATGCTGACACCCCCCTTCATCCCAGACTCCAGGACAGTCTATGCCAAGAACATCCAGGACGTGGGCGCCTTCTCCACGGTCAAGGGCGTGGTGTTCGACAAAACAGATACTGAGTTCTTCCAGGAATTCGCCACCGGCAACTGCTCCATTCCCTGGCAGGAGGAGATGATCGAGACAGGCGTGTTCGCGGAGCTGAACGTCTGGCGCTCGGATGGGCAGATGCCTGACGACATGAAGGGGGTCGCTGTGGAGGAGGCGGCCCCTGCGTCCAAGTCGGGGATGTGTCTCGTCTCCTAGGTGTGCAGGAAGAGGATCTGCAGCCCGCAGGGGCGAGAAGGCCTCTGAGCCGCCGAAGAAAGCAAGGAGCGGCCGGACACCCCAGCCCGGCTCCCGAGCCCGGCCGGTAAATAGTCCGCTTCCTCTGCCCCGTTTCACTCCGACACAGCGCTGGTTCCCAGACGGAACGGAACTTGGGGGCTCCTGTGGACGTCCCAGCCGTCAGCCCTGGCTGCCGTCCAGGCAAAGTGCTGCTCAGACCGCAGGAGGCATGTTTCCTGCACCTTCCCCTCACTGGCTCAGGGGTTGGCAGAGCATGGCCCGCGGGCTCACGGGCACCAGCGGAGAGGCCGGGGGGCCCCCTTCCCGCCCAGCCTCTGCCCCCGCCCCCCGCTGCTGCCAGGGCCTGAGCTGCTGCTCACCCACCACCTGCGTGCTGCAGATGCTGACGTCTGCCAGGTGCTGGGGGCGCCATCTCCCCAGGGTTGCGTCGCCGGGGCTGGGGCCCAGTGTCCCGGAGGAGGGAGGACACGGGGCCCTGGGGGCAGCCTCCCGCTTGGCTTCTCTTTGTTCTGAGAACATCTCCAGCCGAAGGCACCTGGGCAGACAGGTGTGTGGGGCTTTTCCTTCTCCGGCCCAAGCACCTGTCACCACCTGACTCCACCTCCTGACCGAGCCCTTTCCCGGCTTTCGTCCTGGACAAGCCTGGCACGGGCTGGTCTTGCCACATAGGGTCTGTTGGCTGGTGGCTAGGGACAGGCCCTCTCGGAATCCCCAGAGGCAACAGCACTGGAGTTTCGGGGTCCCGCCCCTTACGAGTGCAAACATGTCCTCCTGGCCCGCGGCCGCCTTCACTGTCTCCCCGTTTCCAGCTTCAGCTGTGACCCCAAGGGTCCCCGCGTGCGTCCTACCCTCCAGACGACGTTCACTCCTAGGCTAGGATTTGGTGGCCGTGGCCTTGGAACCTGAGACGGCCGGAGGGCTCAGGAGGGGCTAAGCTTCCGGGGAGGAGCGGAGACTTAGGGCCTGGAGTTTCCAGAAGGGTCTACCTTTCCTTAGGAAAGAACTCCCGAGTCCCTGCAACTCATGCACTGTGTCACGTGCTGGTCCATGCAGAGAGCCACGTACATGGCTGTGAGATGCTGGATTACGTGTGGGGTCACGTGGGAAGGCCCCCCCGGGAGTGTCAGAAGATGCCACCGCATTTACCAATCAAGTGGGGCTGACATTCGGCCCTTCCACGGGTTGCAAAAGAAGGGGTCCTACCTAGTTTTAGCACATGTGCTGGGGTCACTGCCTCCTTTCCCAGCTGCCTCATGAGAGTCCCCCCCAAGTCTTGGGGTGCGCCCGTCCTCAGACTGCCAACACCGAGTGTTCAGGGCACCCCCACCCGCAGACTGCCAACACCGAGTGTTGGGGGGCCGTTGGCCACAGAAGTCCGTGTGCGCTCTGCTCCCCTCCACCCTCAGGGGACCGGGGGGTCCTGCAGTCAACAGCTCTGGAGGGCCGCTGCTCTGGCCCTGCCTGCCTGGCGCAGGGCCGTGCCGCGTGTGGCGGTGCGGAGGCCAGCCAGGTGGCGGGGAACATCCAGCCTGTGCTTCAGAGGACCGTATGCACACGAAGCCTCTGCCTTCGAAGCATCCTTGGACCAGAAAGATCCTTCTCTCCGGGCTGTGCGCGTGGCCTGCCAGAGACAAAAAATGTTCTGGAAGGGCCCAGAGAGGCGCCCAGCGCTTTCTGGCCTGTGGCCTGGAGCATCTCTGCAGGCACCCAGGACCAGGGACATGGGGCTGTCGTAGGCGAATCACGGCACCCTCCCCCCGTCTGGCTCTGTTGTCCAGGACAGCGCACGCTGATTCGGTAACGGCCCCATGCAGCCCCTCACCGCACTGCGCTGAAACCAGGGCCTGTTCCGGCTTTTATAAACCCAACAATGTGCTCCAGGTTCTCACGGCCCTGAGCACAGTGGTCGCAGCAGCTGTGTGGACAGAGGCCTGAAGCCCCTCAGCGTTTGCCGGGGGGCCCATTTGCCTGCGTCTGACGACCAGATGGTCAGATAAAGCACAGGACAGCGATGCATTTGAATTTCAGATGAGCAGCAGATACTGTTTTTAGCGCATGTCCCCAAGCGCGTCAGTGTATGCTGGATGTGGCGCGCCTGTTGCTGATTACATGCGTCACGCATAACAAGTACTTACTCCACTGAACCAGCCGGTGTGTCGGGCACGGTCGTCACTTCAGCGGTCTCGGTCGGAAGGCGTCTTTCCCACGCCCATAAAACTCAGTGCCCCTGGCCCTGCCCATGCTCCCTGCCCCCTGCCCCCTTCCCCTGCCCCGTGCCCCCTTCCACCTGCCCCTTGCCCCTGCACACTGACCCCTTCCCCCGGCCCCCTCCCCCCTGCTCCCTGCCCCCTGCCCCCACCCCTACTCCCTGCCCGCTGCCCCCTTCCCCTGCCCCCTGCCTCTGCCCCGCCCCTGCTCCCTGCCCCCNCCTGCCCGCTGCCCCCTTCCCCTGCCCCCTGCCTCTGCCCCGCCCCTGCTCCCTGCCCCCTGCCCCCTGCCCCTGCTCCCTGCCCCCTGCCCCCTGCCTACAGGCAACACTGCACATGCTTGGATGGTGGTCTCAGGGCGCTAATTTAGGACGCCCAGTGCCTGTGGAAATGGTGGCCGTCTGTGGGACATCCGCCGCCCTCAGCTCTACTGGGGGTCCCGGCGGGGGTGGGGTGGGGTGGGGGGCAGTGCCTGCCCGTGGTTTCTTCACAGTCTCAGGGGATCTCTGCTGGGGGTGGTCTTCCAGGCCCAGCCCCCCGACCTGGCACACTCCCAGGGGTCTGGCTGTCCCCCACACACAAGGTCCTCCCCCCAGCTCCGGCCTGGACCGCGGGCTGGCCCGGACACAGCAGCAGCCCATCCGCTCAGCCGCAGGGGCCGGTGGGGATCTGGTTAGCCTGCAGGCGGGGCTCTGGCTCAGGGGCTGCCCACACTAGGCCGACGGGGGCCCCTGCAGAGCAGCCTTCATCGCCGCTCCTAGTGTCCCTCAGACACCGGCCTCGACCTCCTGGAAGGTGCCGGGACTCAGGCACTTGGGCATCTACGGCCATGGCCACAGCCTGGCCAGACCTGCCGTCTTGGGGTGAGGATGGCACCCAGGGGTTTCTCCCCAGGACAGGAGGAGGCCAGGCAGCAGAGGCGCCCTGGGGGCACTGGGATCAGAACGACTCAGTGTGACTTTTTGTTTGTTAAAAAAAATGAAGTTTCAGGGTGTCTGGGTGGCTTAGTCAGCTAAGCGTCCGACTTCGGCTCAGGTCATGATCTCACGGTTTGTGGGTTCGAGCCCCGCTTCGGGCTCTGTGCTGGCAGCTCAGAGCCTGGAGCTGCTTCAGATTCTGTCTCCCTCTCTGCCCTTCTCCCACTCCCGCTCTGTCTCTTTCTCTCAAAAATAAATAAAAAATTTTAAAACAATAAAAATTGCTTGTGGTGCCCCTACTGGTGAGACTGAGAATTGCAGAGCACGTGGAGGGGCACACCTCCACCTGGTCCCCCACCCTGGGGACTCGTGTGGTTTTGCTCTGCTACTCACAGTAGAGTTTTGTATAACTGTAGCTCCCCCTGTCCCAAACCTGCACCACACGCTTGTTTGAGGCACCACTTAAGTGAGTGGCATTGTGGCTACCTTGGGCAGAGGCCCCTGGGCAGGCCCTGGGGTTTAAGGAGGTGGCCTAGACGCTGTGCGGCTGGTGCTGAGGGCCACGGTGGCTGGCAGAGACCAGGGCAGGGCGGGTCGCTCTGCATGGCCGGGAAGTGCACGTGCTGAGTACTGGGTCAGATGCTGCAGAGAAGCCCGGAGGCATCTTTTTCCCGTCTGTGCTCTGCTCTCCAACCCTGGGTCGTGCGTGCGTGGCCCCAGGGACAGACCTGTCCCACGGCCCTCTCATGCCCCACCGTGCCCACGTCTGTGTCAGGTGCTCGGGTGATGCCCATCCACCTGGGCTAGCAAATACTTCCTCCATCGCCTTGGGTGACCTGGCAGTCATTGTAAATTAGATTAAACCCGGGGCGCCTGGGTGGCTTAGTTGGTTAAGTGTCCGACTTTCGCTTAGGTCACGATCTCGCGGTTCATGGGTTTGGGCCCCGCGTCGGTCTCTGTGCTGACAGCTCAGAGCCTGGAGCCTGTTTCAGAGTCTGTGTCTCCCTCTCTCTCTGACCCTCCCTGGCTCACGCTGTCTCTCTCTCTCTCTCTCTCCTAGAAATAAATAAAAATATTAAAAAAAAAAGATTAAACCCTTTTCGTTTTTATTTTTTTTAATGTTTTATTTATTTTTGAGAGAGAGCACGAGCGAGAGAGAGAGAAAGAGAGAGAGACAGTGTGAGCGAGGGAAGGTCAGAGAGAGAGGGAGACACAGAATCTGAAGCAGCTCCAGGCTCTGAGCTGTCAGCACAGAGCCCGACATGGGGCTCGAACCCACGAACCCTGAGATCATGACCTGAGCCAGCATTGGATGCTTAGCCGACTGAGCCCCCAGGCGCCCCAAGAAAACCCTTTTCCTGCTCGCGGGGTGCAGGGCCCTAGGAACCGCAGGTGAACAGGGCTCAGGTCGGTAGGGGGGATGTGGGGGCTGGCGGGCTGTCCTGTGGACTCTCCGCAGTGGGGCTGCTGGTGTTTATTCCTGCAGGTCCCCAAGGCCATGGCGCTGTTGATGGCTCACTCGTTCCTCCCAACCCCGCACAGGGCAGTCAGACTGGGACTGTGTGTCGCCCTAGGGGTCTGGGAGCCAAAGCCACCTTCCCATTTCAGGGCAGCAGTAAGTGCCTTCGGTTCTGGGGCGCGGTGGACTCCTGTCCTCCCCCACCCCACCTATCAGGACACACTGAAGAAGGTTAGGGGTGGCTGGCCGGCCCTGGACCGGGGGTGACCCAGGCCTGGGCCGGAGGGGCTGCTGACCCGCACAGAGGAACGCGCCCCGGGAGGAAGGCATGGAGAAGCCAGCCCAGTGTTCACAAGGGACGCCCACGCCAGCCTGCACCACGG